GTAAAGAATCTGCGTTGTGCGAACTTAAGATGAATAGAGAGAGTTCTGCGATGAAAAACAAAAATACAGATCAAAGACAAAAAAAATCATAGCCATTATTTCAACTTGAATACCGACGCTTACTCTCCAATGAAAACTCCGAGATTAGCGGATGGGAGATATTAATTTGGGTAATAGATTTTAACTAATCGAGAGTAACAATTTACAATAGATAGATACTTTTTTCCCTGGTGTCCCGACTCCATAAATTTAAGCGTGCTACTAGGTTGGCATCTAGGTCCCACCTTTTTACTTTTGAAATAGTTAAATATAACCGCCATTTCTACTCCAACAGTTTCTTTTCTCGCACTTCTCGCCTGTCAAACAATCTTCCGTTTACTTGTGTCCATGAAACTAGAGTTTTCAAAAATTTAAACGCAACGTCAATCGACATCTTCTGTCTCCATCAATTCTGTTCATCTTCTGTCAATTCCTCATGCCCCGCATAAAAATGGTAAGCAGATAGCTAGATAATTATAATAAAAGAATGAGATGATAGATAGATAGATAGATAGATAGATAGATAGATAGATAGATAATGAACAGCCTGAGATAGATAGATAGATAGATAGATAGATAGATGAAATGATAGATAGATGGGAAAAGACTGAGATAGATAGATAGATAGATGAATAGATAGATAGATAAATAGATAGATATATAGATAGATAGATAGATAATGAACAGTCTGAGATAGATAGATAGATAGATAGATAGATAGATAGATAGATAGATAGATAGGGAAAAGACTGAGATAGATAGATAGATAGATAGATAGATAGATAGATGTTTGGATTAGTCATGAATAATTTCCATTTTATTCTTCAAGTGATAAAAGTACAATTACATTTGACTCTATTTTAATTGTTGTCTATTATCCGACAGTTGTTTGATATCTTTTGAGTAAAATTTCCGCAGGTTTTGATGTAAAGTTTTCCACCATTTCTTGAATCGGCTTTTTATAAAGAGAAAGCCTTCCATCACCAAAACATTTTACAGGGATCGAAAAAGTTAATAATCTGTTGGCGCAAGATGAGGTGAATTTGACGGTGTGGAGAAGTAGAACAGATCAAATACTTTTTCTGTAATATTTAAATTTGATTTGGTTTGGTCTGGTTTGTTTTACGGCATATCCACCTCTATGGGTTATTTAATGCCGACAAGATATTTATTGCTGGTAATGTTTTTTTTTTTTTTTTTTGTTTTGTTTTTTTTTACCAAAAATGTATTGCTGGTAATATTTTTCTTTTTCAAAAATGCACTTCTGGTAATTTTTCCAAAAAAGTATTGCTGGTACTAAAACCTATTTTTACACTTTCCTACTGTTTTGAACCCTTTTGTGGGGTTAACTGTTTACCCATACCTGACAGGTGCTACCATCCCGGGTCAGGGTGGACCTGGGAACACTAGCAATTAAGAGGCGGTTCCACACTCCTCAAAACCTACTGATCAAAATCCTTGCTGTCAGGTGTTGATGTAGTTTATCGTCATACCCAGGACGGAATATTTAAATTCCATATCTCTTTAGGACGTAGGCGATAATAGTTCATCACAAATTTAATTTGTTTTTTGTCGTTTCGGAATTGCCATGGCCTCTTCGTTTCACTTTTTTTCTAATTCAGAATTATCCTTGTTTGAGCCTAAAAATCACAAACTTACTGGCTGTTTAACCCATAGCTGGAGAGAAATGACATGATTTCATGCCTTTCCCAAGGAAATGAGGTCGAAAATTGTTGAAACTTGACTAATGCATGGAATAATAATGCAACACAAAATGTACTTAGAACAAAATGTATTGAAACAAGAAAGTGTACACAATATTTACATATAGTCTTTTGTATATTCCTGGTAAGACCGTTCCTGGAGAATGTGTTGACTGAGACGCAGTCGGGCAGAGTTTCTGGTTGCATCTCTTGATTCCTTCCTCTTCCCGGTACCAACCATATTTATATGGTCGGCACTCCACTATGCAAATTAGGTGGATCCTACCACAACAAAAATAAAAAAAAATATGAGACTAAGATCAAATTTAAGCTCAAGATCATCTACTATTAAGCTTAATAAAATTTATCTGAGCAAGATCAAGCAGAAGTATTGATATAGGCATTATAAAAAGACACGGTTTACTGAGATTTTAATTTAGTCCTGACATTCTCCAAGTTAAACTAGCAGTCGAAGATGGAAAGCAACTCTACTATTCAACCCATAGATAGAGGAAGAAAATATAGATTTATGTCTATCATACGATTATCACGGGATTGCAGCAGACGGAGCCGGAACTCTAAATCGTTTCTCTGGTTCATTTTTACATGCTATTAACTGTTACGCTACACGAACATCCCATTGATTATAAGGCTTGATTTAAATTATATTTCAACACAGATAAACTGTGAACTGAACAAATCTATACCCTCACCCTTCAAAATGAGGCGTGACTTATTTTACTGAATATCGCAAAAACCCAGCTTTTGGAATGTCATCCAAAGTAATTTTTTTTTCATCGGAATTCACACTGTTCAAATTAAATTTAACTTAATGGACCGTAGAACGTACAGGCCATGAAACGTTTCGATAGAAAGTAAAAGCAAAGACGAAAAAAATCAGAAATGGCTTTTGATCAAAACACTTTTTTGTGCTAAACGCAGTTAATTTGAAGAACGCGCTAGTGACGTTAAACTCAAAGATCCAATGCATTTATCTACTCTTCTCACTGTGTGCTGGTTAACGATTTTTATGTGCTGTCAAGCCCAGCTCACAGAGCATATAACGAATCAGACTTTAATGAACTATCGCGAGTGTACTCTTTGGCCATCGACTTGCGTTGCTAATTATTTAAATGCGTAATGTTCATTCTTCTGACAACACATTGTAATGCGTTTATAATTACAAACTTGAGCAACAACTTGGGCAATTTGTACTTCGTGAACTGCAGCGCGAAAATATTTTAAATAAACGTATATAAGCCTAATTTGCTACGTATATATATATATATATATATATATATATATATATATATATATGAAATAAAATATGCCAGGCTGTTGTCAACAAAGTCTTGCCGACCATAATAACAGCACTCAGCTCTTCATAATGACTGAGATAGATGACAGAACGTGATTAAACAGAAAAATAAAATTATATAGATATATGTCAACAAACTGAGATAGATAGATAGATAGATAGATAGATAGATAGATAGATAGATAGATAGATATTGAGAAAGAAAGAAAGAAGGAAAGAAAGAAGGAAATAAACAAAGAAAGAGATGGTGAGAGAAACCTATTTAAAGAAAGAAAGAAACTGAGATAGATAGATAGATAGATAGATAGATAGATAGATAGATAGATAGATAGATAGAGTCTGAGAAAGAAATAAACAAAGAAAGAAAGAAGGAAATAAACAAAGAAAGAGATGGTGAGAGAAACCTATTTAAAGAAAGAAACTGAGATAGATAGATAGATAGATAGATAGATAGATAGATAGATTCTGAGAAAGAAATAAACAAGGAAAGAAGGAAATAAACGAAGAAAGAGATGGCGCCAGAGATAGAGAGATGGATAGGAATCTATTTAAAAAGGGAAGAAACTGAGATAGATAGATAGATAGATAGATAGATAGATAGATAGATAGATAGATAGATAGATAGATAGATAGATAGATTAGCTTCATAAAGAACGGTTGCACTTCTCCCACGGGCTCTTTGCTTTGACCGTCTATTGGGATACATGTTCACTTCAAATCTCAACAGGAACACACACATACGACTAAATGGTTAACTCAGTATCTGACTACTTCCGCGATGAATCTCAGAATAGACCAAAAAATGTACTATTACTATCATGTCCTGTCCGGAGCTGCTCACTCCTCTCTTTATAGCCTTGACCGAATTCCCAATCTTATATGGAATGACTTATACTTCAACCTTTACAACCTCTTTACTACAGACGCAACGTCGTAACACTGTTGCTAACTCTACTGCTCTATCATGGCCAATGCTCCTGTTAGCTCCAGTTTACAATTCTATCAATGCATGCCCTTACAGCTAAGTTTCGCCATGCTACCTCCATTATGTTGTATCATACACATTTCCTCTATATTCTAATAGAAAAGAGAATGTTTCAGTCTTGCCCGAGAACTGCTACTTTGTGGCAGAAAATCCCGTGTGGGTGCTTTTCTGAACACTCTGAAATCTGAACAAAGTGAAATATCAGTCGCTGCCTAACAATTCTGTCCACACAATCTTCACTTCTTCTTGTGATATTCATATCACATGCTCATTCATTGGCGCTCTACCTTAAGTGGCTCTTAAGGATGGAAAATCGAACGAGCAAAATGCAGTAAATCGTCAAAAACAAGTAAAAGTAAACACTAAATATTAAAAATACATTGTTAACTAAAAAGGTACTTTAATTTTAATACAATGGTACTTTGATTTCAAAAAATGGTACTTTAATTTTAATAGAATGGTACTTTCATTTTAATACGATAGTACTTTAATTTCAATAAAATGATGCTTTAATTTTAATACAATAGTACTTTAATTTCAAAACAATGGTACTTAAATTTTAATAAAATGGTACTTTCATTTGCATACGATAGTATTTTAATTTCAATACAATGGTACTTTAAATTATTTTTTTACGTTACTACTAACAAATAATCGACAACGTTTTCTCTCATTCTGCTTTCTTTAATGATTATATGTTACGGTTTACCAACCTTTTGCAGATTATTAAAGGCTTGAAATTACTTTTAGTTTGTAAGAATTTTAGTGGGGAGATACTAATGATTTTACTGATACAAGTCCTACTAACTAACCTATAGCTGGATGGGAGAAGGGGTGCATTCATACCTTTCCAAAGTTTTTTACGCATAAGTGAATATAATGAACCCGATTGGAATTAGAACACAGCTCTCCTAGCTCCAATTCCGAGCCGTTGTCCATTGCACCATCCGCCAAGCTTACAGCACCTGGTATTGCCAAACGGTCACTCATCTAGGTACTGGCCAGGCTCGACGTTTCTTAACTTCCATGATCGTACGAAAACCAACGTTTCAACGTGATATAGTCGTAAGCTTATCTCATTCTGTGATGATTCCTGAAGTATTTTGGGGTATATATATATTTTTTTTTTCCTGTCTACAACGTTTCGACCAATGAAATATGGATTTGCACGCATGATGAAATCTATTAAATGGGCCGTCTGAAACGATCAATATTTCGAACACCTCTTGTGGCGGGAATGAATGCAGACGGAGCTGCTTGCCGCTACTAATAACGACATCCGCGCACGTCGGTCAAAGAGACGACGTTTAATGTCTCTGCAAAAAGAAATGGCTGCTCTGTCCTGTCGGAACAGAGCAAGTGCGAACGCCGGAACGTCTGGTAATGAAGAAAGTGTATACCAGCTTCCCCATGAAATAATCGGGGTGGTGAGCTGAGCGGTGTTAGCTATGCAAATGCTTATTTTTGCTAGTCAACAGCTAAAGTTTTAGGCTCCATAAAATCAGACATATTTTCCGGGATGCGGCAGTGTGCCACGTTGATGTGCGTTACCAACGATTTCTGGCCGTGTTACCCAGCGTCGTTTGAAATTCGTTCGTCTTTGTTTGTTTCCGGTGTCTAGCTTGCATTCGTTCCGTACGTGTGATATTCCCGTGTGGAAGTTTTATTCCTGCTCTATTCGTCGTGATCCAGTGTTCGGTGCTTTTAAGGTTTCATTCCTGTACTGCTAATTTACTCCGTCCCTTTCAGTTGGCAGATACCCAACCACTAAGAAGAAACTGCTTCATCTCTTGACTTAAGGATTTATAAATGACTTAAAATGAATCGACCAATCTGCTGCGGTAACAAAGAAAGCCACAAAAATGAGAACATTCGCCTGAACAACTCTTGGAATATTAATAACCCTTTTTCCTAAAGGATTCTGATATTTACCACCCATATATACACACACACACGCACACACTGTGGTAGGATGCGACATAAGGCCATTTTTAATATGAGGGTCCCGATTGCGTGCATCCGGGACAGTTCCCCAAAATTGCCCTATAATCCCAACCTCAGTCACGTTGGCGACGGTATTGCTACCATCACGTCTTTAGTGCACAGAGGAAGGTACTGCCCCGGCCAGCGGTTCTGCAGTACTGGGCACCTGTTTCCCGTGACTTTGCACCTCTCATTATTTTTTCAGTTTCTCTCTGTCTGAAGACAGAAGCAAAACTGAAAGATGTCATGAGGACCCTCAGTACCTCAGTAAGCCTTGAAAAGAATTCTACGCACGAGAAAAAAATATATTAGTAAGATAAAGGAAACAAAAACAATGACATTCCGAATAACTTGTAGAAAAGTTGAGAATTTACTTAGAATTAAACACTTTAATAAAAACGTCCTCTTCAATTTAATTTGTGAAGGTGTATACTTACTTGTGTTTGCATTTGTTTATATTTCCACACATCTTCTGTGATTGTTTACCATCTGTATGAAAGTGAAAGTAGACTAGAAAATGAAAGTAGACTAGAAAGTGAAAGTAGAATAGAAAGTGAAAGTAGAATAGAAAGTGAAAGTAGACTTTCTTAATGGAAGAAGAACGTTTCAATCTGACCGAATGCAATCAACAAGACACATTTTCATAGAGAAATTTCCATTTTCGTTTCTTCAACTTTTATTTTATTTTATTTTATGATTAGACCCCAAGCAAGGCAATAAAACCACTAGGACGCAAGATGTTACTGAGCGTTAGAGAATATGAGAAAAACTACAATTAAGAAGAGAAGATATTAGAAGTATTAAGACAGAAGATAATGAGTGACATTACATTTAAAAAAATTTGTTTCCTAGGAAACCAAAAACCGGAAGAGAATTCCACAAGCGAGAGTTACAAGAGAAGAAATTGTTAGCCTAGAACTTTCTGTTTTTTAACACAATCCACCAAGCTCTTTTTTAACACAATCCCCAAGCCGCCATTTTTAATAACAATTTGAAAAACATGTTAGCACCAAAATCAAAATGTAGAATCACTTACTGATACCTAAACAACTAGGAAAATAAACAAAATACTTTTTGAATCGTATTTTGTACACTTAGGTGTATAATACAATGAGGAGTCTTAATAATCCGTGTCGGATTCTCCTCGATATGCAATAAATAGGGGAGTTTCTGGATAAAAGATGATTCGGAAAATCGTTTAAAGTCTCAAAAAGCGTGATATTAATAAATGAACAGATCTTCCTATGATCGAAAGGTGTCGGAGGATTTCCTGATAAAAACTAAACTAAACGTCCCGGAACATCTATTAGGCCCCTGAAAGATTTCTTTTAATCATTTCGACCTAAGCAAAGTGATAATGCCACTGTGACGTATAGGGTAACCGAGAATAAAAGATGATGATAATACTTTAGTGAGTAGAGGTGAGGGAAAAGGATAAAAAGAATAGGTTTCCGGAAGAGAGATGTCACTTGGCCATGCATATTTTTAAGGTTGTAGTTGGTAGGGAAGCAAGAAATCTGAAGGGATTTCCACAAGTGCCAGAAAAGAAACTATTAGAATAGAACATACGGTTGCATCTTGATAGTCCAACAGTAAAACGGTGAGACCTATCTGCCAATCTAGTAGCACGCTTAAATTCATGCAGTCGATAAACCAAGGAGGAAAGAGCATAAGAAGAATTACTATGAAAAATATTTATAAAAAAGATGAGGGAAGCCACGTCAGGTCAATGAGAAAATGACTGAAGCCGAGATGCCAGGATTGATTACATGCAGACACTTCTTTGTCAAGTAATTTATCATTTTAATAAATTATAAAAATCGTTAATAAAACCTCAATTTAAACCTTGAATATGACATATTTATCACAATGTTTCGGCTGTTGTACTCTCCGGCCTTCTTCAGGTGGTTGGAATTTCGAACTGAACCCTTTATTAACAGTAGATAATTAGTAACTGACATCCATTAGACGTGACACGTGGAACTAGAACAATCTACCCCAGTCCTGTCACTGGATCTAAATAACGCCTTTATCCACTGTGCCATGTGTCCAACCACCTGAAGAAGGCCGGAGCGTACGACGGCCGGAACATTCTGATAAATATGGCAACAAAGATGAGGACAATAGTCTGAATAATGCAAATAGTGTACATAATACCTCATCTCATAAATATAGACAGATACTGACAAGTGTTTGAATTGACTTTTTCTTTCTTTTTAAATGCCATATGTCTTCAGGGCGTAGGTGATTATAGCTGGCGTTGTCTTCTTCACGGTTTTGAAAAAACTATACTAACTGCCAAAGCTAGAGTGCTTAGTCTGCAATGTTATTTTTCCCATAGTTGGGTGGGATGAAGAAATATATTCATGCATTTCTGATCTGTAAACAATCTCATTCTAAGATCAATGGTTAAAATTGGTTTCGTGCGAGTTAAGACTATGTATCTTGGCATAGAACACACCTTATGGACTAATTCTACGGAATCCCAGAGAACTGTACCAAATAACAGAAATCTCATCGCTTGACGGCTTTCAAAAACAGCAATAATTAAAACTGATATAACTCAAAGAGTAAGTGATGACATAATTATGATATTGACATTCCACATTATTTAATACAAAAGGTTAGGAAGGAAGACCGTAGCAATACTAGAAAGAGCGATAACAGTTACTGGACTTGAGAAAACCTATTTTATTAAAAAAAATAAACTAAAAAAAAGAAAAAAAAAACAATATTTTAAAAGAATTTTTAAAATTTCAACCGGCAGTGGTGCAAGCTGCTTGGTCAGTAGACACCGAAAATTTCTCTATAGGGAAACGGTTAATGTCCCCATTACTATGATTTGAAAATAAATGTAGAATACAAAGAATGAATTGAAACTCCTTTCGGCACTGATAAGCATAAAGCTGAATAAAACCTACCTGAGCAAAATAAATTACTCTTAACGAAATCAAGTAAATGCGTTGGTATATCAAATATAAAAAGAAATATTTACAGAGATTTCATTCGAAAGATAGAATTTTTAAGTTTCTTTTAGTTTGACTTTTTACTGTATATTGTAATAAGACGTGAAACCATTTCAGAATAAAATAAATCAAATCTCTCCTCCCTCCCCCTCTCTCTCTCTCTCTCTCTCTTCCACTCTCTCTCACTCCCTCTCTCTTTCCAAGTCCATTTCAAAAATTATATTATTTTAACAACAGTTTCGTAAGGTTTCATAGAGGTGCTACCAGGGAACGTTTTACAGCCTAAAAGAAATTAAAATTCATCTCCCTATACAGTCATTTTCATTAAAATTAATTCCCCTTTAGTAAAACACTTCGCAAAGTAAGATATATTCACTACTTAAAATCTTTGAAACTAAAATTTTAAATTAACATTACATTCATAAATTGGCTTGTTATAGTTAAGGAAAGTTTTACAAATAGATGCCAACTTGTTAAAGACCAAATGAAATGCAAATTTCAAACACTTTTCTGCATTATATAAGACGATATTCCTAAATAGAACTATTTTTATATATGGAAATCTAAACAATCCTCGCATAAAAGAACAGTAATAAAGGACAGTTAATTAATGAAATAAACTTTTTTAAAAACAATGTGCAAATTAGATAAACCTGAAGAGTGATATTGCCTTGAAGTAGATAATATGTATGAATTACTATGAATAGAGTTTGGTTTTTAATCTCAGAATTCGTGGGAGATTTCAGCTCCAATTTTCGCATTTACTCATATAGATCCCATAATATACGTTTTACTTAATTAGCTATTATGTTTCTCTAACTCTTTAAATGTTGAATGTATAACTAATTCTAATTTCTATTTTCCAATCTTTAAACTATATTCATTTTATCTTATAAATTGTCCCCTTTTCTGTCATGAAGTAAAAATAACTGTACGGAAAATAAGGAAGGAATACATCAAATTGTCTTTAAATTAAGTGGCAGCAGAAGAATTATCGTTGACCTTTCAAAAGGTAAGCTTACACATTAATTCAATACTTAAATGCAGTTTTGAGTTCTTCTGTAGTTTATTGATGCCTATCGCATCTACTCCTCCCTAGCTATTGGGATGCTGGCCAAAC